CAAGAATACGACCTAACCAAGCCGAAATTACAGAAAGACCTCGACTTGAAAAGGCCACCGAACAGAAATCTGGTGGGAGATTCTTGAGGGGCTTGGTTTGACTCCTCGGTTGACCCTTTGACCCGTAATATGGTTTGGCCTATAGTTTGCCGAATGGAGTCAATGATTTTGGGGTCCACAGGATATCCCGACGCATCACGCACGTAAAATGTGTTCACGGCTTTGCCAGATCTTGTTGACACCTCAGCTCGAGTTACAGTTAGGCTGTTTTCGCGAAAGATTCTTGTCACGTCGGATAAAAGACCAACTCTATCTGTCGTGCATAGTTCTAGCTTCAAGCCCTGTAGATTTTGAAAAGAAAAAAAAGCAGAGTTTTACATTAGTCAAAAAAGCTTGTATGTTATTATTATTAGAAATGGGAGAAAAGGTGCATGTGTAGTAGTAAGCATTAGAGAATGATAAAGCTGAGAGGACATGTGCATGTGAACAGATTTGAGTAACATGAACAAGAAAGAAGTTTCCAGTTTTCAAATGATTTCAGGACCAGGTCTTTTTCATTGAATTTTCTAAAAGGATCATTGACCGATGACATAATTATGTGTACCAATTAGACATCTGGATTAACATATACGCCTCACTAGTAGCAAGCAAGCCCATTCAACACAGAGAGATATTTGTTTTTCAGATTTTAAAATTTAATGTAACTTAATTTTTAAAACATAATTTGAAGTCTTGACTCTGCATACAATTGATTATTGGAGGTTATTACCTCAGATACTCGTCTTTGTATGGCAGCTTCAAGGCACTGAATCACCCTCTCCCTCTCTGCATCTGATTTCACTGAAGACCCGTCAATATGCCTTATGCAGTATTCCTTCAAACACAAAACACACCAAAAAAAAAAAAAAATATATATATTAATCCCAGACAACATTGGACATGTGAATGATTCAAACAGTGCAAGAACCTCCACTTTCAGACAAAGCAAACATAGTAGCCAAAGCCAAAATTCGTTCTGATTCAATACAACAGAGTCCAAAATTTGAACAAGTACACAAAAGAAAAAGATAACAAAAAGGAAACCAAGGTCTAACAAAATAAATTTCAAAGACGCGTCTTCCGTATGCAAAATTCAAGCGAAAAGGGGAATCAGAACATTAACACCAAAAACCATTAGCAAAAAATAAATTCAAGATAGTAGAAAATAATACGTGATAAGCCTGCGGGCCATCGGTATCCACATTCCCATGAAACACCACGTACTCCATATCAGTCAACGTACAAACAATATCGAACAAAAGCTTCGGCCTATCCTTGCACCTAATCGTGACCACAGAATAATCCTTATCCTGCCAATTAACAACGTTCACTCTCGGCCTAATTACGTCTGTGTCCCCATCATCATCCTCATCTGCTGCCCTCTCATAATCCCGGTCTTCAAACATCATCTGGTGAAGCCGCCGCTCAGCATTTGTGGCCCCACACGAAATAACCGTCTTCGCATCCCTCAATTTGTTGCTTCTGCTGCCTTTGAGCACATTGCAAAGAAGGCGGCGGATAGTAGCCAGTTTTTCCGGGTCGTGGATCGACCCACCGGACTCCCCCTCTACCCGCATCACGGCAGCTGCCCGTGTGTTGTGAGTCCACACTTCGGCAGTCACCACGTTGCACTTGAGGTGAGTCAGCACAGCGCTCACCTCAGAGAGAAGGCCCGGACGGTCGGCCCCGATTAGCTCGATCGACGTGTGGTCCTCGCCCGGCATGAGCCCCACTGACCTCGCGAAGCACGAATCGGGCCCCAATGACTGCATTTTTTTTCTTTTTTCTTTTATTTTTGATTTTTTTTTTTTTTGAAGAATTCAGAAAGAAGCTTGGATATAAAATTTTTGGTTTTGTTTGTATTTTTTCTAGTTAATTTTGAAAAATGTGGTATGGTTGGTTTGTAGTGGTAATATTAAAATAACGTTTACACAAGCATCTGCTTACCTTTTGAATATAATCAAGAATGCCCTCGTCGGTAATTTTGTTTCCGTCTTGGTCAGTAACGTTGAACACTAGAGTAGGGAAAAAGAAAAGTAGAGTTAGAGATTATTATTATAGTTGTTGATTAGTGTTTTGGATGTAGTTTACCATCCATGAACCATCCTCCATCAGAGCAGATGTAAGCTTTGGTGACCACAAGATTGAGATCTGTGAGGACTTGAACCACTTCAAGAAGGATGCCTTGTTTGTTGGCACTGTCCACCTGCATTAAACAAGAACTTCTCATTAAACTCTCAATATGAATGGAAATACAAAACAAAACAGGGTAGTGTGAAAGAGGAAAGAGCAAAGAGCAAAGACACTATTTTTATTTGCATACCTGAATGACAGTTGCATTTTTGCAAGATTCGTTATCAATAACCACTCTGCCAAAATTGAAGATAACTTAGAATTGTTCACAATGCAAAAGTAAACGCAGTTAAAACACAGAGACGTATAGATGTGCATATAAACATAACTACCTTGGAGGGTGCATTCTCCGGATTAATTTCTCATACTCATCATCCATGCTCTGTGAATAACTCACTGAAGCCTCTGAACAGGAATTCCAATTTTAGATAAGAGTAAAAAGAATTTATGGGAATTCTTAGTTTTTTCAGGTTCAGCTATAAAATACTTGAGAAACACAGCGTATCACAAGCGCCAATCACAGAGAAGATACCAAGCGTGCAAATTAATAATGGGGCCGAAAAAAGACCAAGTAAAATGAAAAAAAATAAAAAAAAATCATTAGAGTTGGGATAAGACTGCAAATCGAGAATGAACCTTTGAGACATCCAAAGGGCCAGCCAATTAAGATGGCTTTTTAGCCACCTGTAAAAAGATATTTAAAAATGAAAATTTGGAAAAAATGAAAAAAAAAAAAGAAAATGTTCTTGTTTTTACGCCTGTGTGGGGATGACCTAGTGGGGCTCTGTCACTGTGTCAACACCGACTAGAAAACCAATATCAGCAACTTTTTTTTAACAGGAAAACACACAGATTGAAAAAAACACACACACTTGAAGGTGTGCAAACGAAGCAGGGACCTCACACCAAATTACAGGCTGGAAACCAACAATAGAATTCTCACATAAAAACACACAGAGCACTCATAGAACCACCAAACCTAAGGGCCCATATACACCATCTTCAAAACCAGAAAATCANTCGATCAGAATTGAACTGCAATTAGGAGAAAAAAAAACGGAAAAACCAGACATACCCATAAAAATTTTTGTGTGATTTTCGACTGGGTCCTCACCAAGATTCCCTTTTGATTCCCTCAGCACAACAAGGTAAACCAAGAAATTAAAGACTGAATCCCAGACTGCTAGAAAGAGAGTATGCTTCCAATACGCAACGCGCAACAGAGTTAAAAAGACTCTCTCGAATCAAAAAGATCTCGACAGAGTTTCCTCCTTTTAGACGATGAGATGGAAAAACACGCACTTTTCACCTCCCACTCTGTGCATAAGTGGGGGCTGCGTGTGTGTGTATATATAGCAGGTCTCTGTCGATGGGGCTTTCTATATTCAGCTGCCCTTCGAATTTTCAGGCCTCAATTTTTCTATTCTTTTATATTTTCGGT